ACCAGCGACCCGTTTGGAATGATGTGCATCTTGTCGAGAATTGATCCTCACACACAATGAACCCCCACGAATCACATTCAGCACAGAGCCATAGCTTGCGATTTTAAACTTGTGACTTCCGCCGTCGCTCGCACACCTTATCTCCAACCTGTTATCATTTTGTGAAGTTTTGACTTGAAGAATGGAACCGTCAACATATTACTTGTCAAGGGAAGTGGACGAGAGCGATAATGATGGTGATAGAGATATAAATCCATTTTTATTACATCCTCAGCATATTGTCTATGCGGAGCCGTGGCGGATATGATCTATGGGTAAATGAGCCAAATTCGTGAAATGCGAGAAGAAAGGCTGGATGAAAAATGGGGACCATGTAGCGCGTAACTAGTCTGCGGAGTGATCGGAGATTGCATGGCAGCGTTGAGCCGCCAGGAGATCGCAAGCTGTAAACATGAATCCTGTAGTCATGAGGACGCTCCTGGTTAATTTAGATTTAGGCCTGGGTGAGGTAGAAGGACACGGTGTGGTTTAGGACACGGTGTCAGGTTTCTGACGCAGGGATTCCCAGACAAAAAGTACCTTTGCACAACATGATTTAGGAATTGAGCACATACGTAACTCATCTCTTGAACTACATGCTACATCACAATTGGGAAATTTGGAATTACCCGAAGCCTCTGGTCAAAGTTTGGCGATCCGGCATTAAATAAACGCACGCGCACGATGTGGCTCACTCGACGAATTTCTTCCAGTGTCCCCTGGAAAGATCTTTGAATGCGATCAAACGCTGAAATGCGAGCCGCCGATCCTCCATGCCTTTACTGATTGGACGATTGGGCCCCAAAACTGTGTTACACTTCAAGACTGTGGTTGGAGTTTCGGGGTACTCGCCAGACACAACCGCATCTCTGAGTGCTTTAGTAACTGGAACCAGATAGAAAGTGGGTCGAGTGCGAGCCATGGCGATACAGGGAACAGTCATGGCATCAAGGGGAGCAAGCCCTGTGTTCACCCGTTTCTTGTTATTATACTGGAACATGGCAATAGCTACTGGGATGACTTGTGTTTCAGGTTGTGTCATCTTAGAGCCATGTCTGTCCCCTTGCAGAGTAAGCAAGATCATTCTTGAGTCTCCATGGCGCAGACACATGTCTGCTTGCACAGAGTAGCTGGTTCTACAGACCGATAGGCGCATAGTGAAGCGCGCGACCATCCCTGTGCCCCGTTCGAGGAAGTCAAGTATTTCGAAAGTGGCCCGAAAGAAATCGACGAGAGAGCCTTCTTGATTGCCACAAATGGCCCATTTAATGCGGTAGAGATAACGACCAATGTCGTCGGGGATGCCGATCGCCCCCATCGTGGAGTTAATGAGTAAAGAATCCACGTCGGTCAATGGTGGGTTTGGGTTTGGGTGAAAAAATTCGTCCGCGGGTTGAGAAACAACGGTGATATCAGCCCTCTGTTACTCCAATGGCTGTCCGACTTTGGAGGTCGGCCAGCATTAGCCATTGTCTGCCTTGCAGCCGAAAGTTTAGAAACTATCCTTTCAGCCCCGGGTGGATATCTCACCTAGGACGGCGTTGGCCAGACGACGGATGTGCAAGCTTTGCCACTGCAGACAGCGGGTGCGGGAAATACCACGATGGATGCTGGAATACTTGGGCTCGGCTTGATCAAGGCGTGGTTCCGGAGCATTGTTGAAGCGGATGGCGGTAGACTAGGGTTATCGATGCAAACACATCGTGTGGCGACGATAATATAACGCCGAAGCATGTGAATTTCGAGCGACCCAATCGGGATGCAGTCGGGTCCCCGTGTTAACTGCCTCCCTCACTCGAACATTATTCCAATTTTAGTTTGGAACACAAGTGTTCCTCTAGATACTATCATACTAGGGCTTCCTCTAACTTCAGCGAGTTTTTTCCACTTAACCTCTAAACCAGGTTTGTGGCCGTGTGTTGGAGCCCCTCGACCATCGCTCATTACGCGTACCTTCATGTTTTATGTTTTGCATCGTTAACGCGCGATCAATGATACACGATTATATTTAATGCATCATAGGCACGCTGCTACGACTCTCCCTTCGTTGGCCGTGTTCAAGAGCGTAGTCAGTTTCCCCTGTTCGATGATCATCTCCAACGCCTTGATCACTTCTTGTCCTATTCCTCGTTATCTCAATTGTCACTCATCGGTTTCGTTCGATCACATTAATGTTTCCGACTCTCACACCCTTGCGCGATGTCGGGTCGTAAATGAGGAATGAGGAAGTCGACGGTGATCGTTTGGATGTACTGGGCTAGATCAACCAGTCCCAAGTTCCGCCTTACAGACAGGCAAGTGACTGACGATGACTGCTTGATTGGCCGAGCTTGCGAGGCTTTTGTTTCCAGAGGGGGTTCGATTTTTTTTACCGTGGGAAATGGGCAACATCGGAAGCTCGGCCATCCGAGCTGGTACTTCTGACAATGGCTGAGATCGACGAGCAGTATTTCCACCATAAATTAAAAGCGACGAGCGACGATCAAGAAGAGGGAAGCACTCAGTCTTTTTGGGCGAATGAGGTCACATCGTCACAAGGAGTAATACCCGGCTCCACGAGTAATATAAACTAGCCAGAATGGGCAACCCATTTCTAGCGAGCCGGAAGTGGGGCCCCGCGATTGAGTTCCGGTGGTTGAGAGATTCACGAAATCTTACAGGCAATCAGAAAGTCGCTGAACCAAGGGTCGAACTCGATACTACACAAAGGGGTGTAAATACAGAGATCTCCGCTCCTACTATCTACAAAGTACGTCTCAGCTTTTATACGGTTCTGGGGACACTTATCGCTTACATCGGCTGACTCCGAGCATAGAGCCAAAACGGAGTCACGCGGCAAGAACAAAACAACCCTTGGCTTCGCGAAATTCGTCAAATATCCTCGTTGCTGGCAGAACCAGTCGATACGTGGCATCCTGCCGGTTGACCAGTTACGACAGGTCCTTGGGTTTCTATTCGTCAGAAACTCTATTGTTGGTGATCAAATGACAACCTCAAGTAAGTAAGTGATCCATTTTCACCATCCCAACACCTATTCACCATTTCTTGTGAACAAGTATTATGAATATCCCCTCCGATAAAATTGGGGCCTGCACCATAGCCTCTCTACCAGTAGAGGTCATTTCTATGATTCTCCACTTTGCCACTCCTCTGTATCGGCCAGTCCCAGCAGTGGGTGGCGGGAAAGACAGCATTGAGAATTACATCAAACAACGCACCGCCTTCGCGGCGCTCTCCCTCGTCTCAAGAGCATGGAGACATGCTATTTTGGTCCCTCTTTATCGTCGATTGGTACTGTTCGGATGCGTTCGTGCGTATTTGGCGCCTCTTTCCCTAACACTCCAAAAATACGGCCCCTTTGTGCATACGCTTATCCTCGATAGTCGTGTTATACATCTTGAAGGACGCTCTTCCTTGTTCCGGTGCGAGCTATCCAGGAAACATCGAAGGCTTCGCCGATGCTTCAACGCCTGCATGAGACTGCGCAACTTGGAAGTGTATGGGTTCAATCGCTTCACCTTCGAAATATTTAGATATGAGGACGTGGACCCTCTCCTTAACCCCTTTCCGGTCGTCCCCATACGTTCCTTGACGTGGGCCCCTGGAGACTTAACGTGCCTCGGCCCTCCCCTTCAACAAGTAGCCTCAGAGCTCGAACACCTTCAAGTTTGTTCGTGGTCAGGCCCTCTCTTTCCGTTTGAGTTCAATATTTCTACGTTACGCCTGAATAGACTGCAGTCCATCGAACTGATTGGTGGCAGTATAACCGATGCGCAGCTGCTTCAACTGTTTCATACGACTGTTCGTGACGGTGTGGGCATGGAGACGGTATCCCCTCTTCGTGCAGTTCGCATCGAAGGCCACAGGGGCGTAACACCCGATGGGGCAGTCAAGGCATTGCAAGGTTCTGGGATTCATTGGGCGCTGGAATCGTTCGTCGTAAGCTTTCATCGGTGTCAGTTTCCAGGACGTTCCGACTATTTCCGAAGCTCGAGTGCGCCTCATGAAGACTTCCCTGACATCATTTTCAATCTCTGTCCAAACCTTCGTTTCTTTGCCCTTCTTTCGCCCGTGTCCCTCAATGCATTTAACAAGATCCCTCCAAAACTGCATTCGCTCGTAACTACCGTCACCATCCCGGTTACTCGCGAGGAATTAAGCTTATTTGCATCATCAATGACCGCTCGTGGTATCACAACTAAAGTCAAACTCCTCCGGCAGATGCTTGAGGATTTAACGGTTTCAGAGACTTCTTTTCCGGAAGAACTCCGCGGATTTTCTATTGTTCCGTATGACCTCCCCAGTTGGCGTAGCGAACCGGAACCAGTTAGTCCATAGATGTTCCATAGTCATGCCTTGCTCTACATATTTTTTACGCATTCGACAAGCCAGGTCTTGGCGATTTCCAGGATAGTACTTCGTGTACGGTGTAATGGTCATGCAATCTGTCATCGAAGAATCTGGACCTATTATCTACATCCCTCATCTGTGCCGGCGTTGCTCTATATCTGGGGTTCCGTGCCCCGTGCTGCGCAAGAATGGACTTTCACCTGTAAAGATTATTATCACCTCTTATGCCCCCGATGGTTGTGACGTCTAGTGAACCCTCGCCATTGGGTCAGATAGATCAAGTTTAACTTCATGAAGATACTCATTTTCCTGGCACGGATCCTCATACATTGTACTTTATATCAACGACTCAGAGGACTTACGTCAGCTTGCACTGATCTCTGATCCACGAACATTTTCCCCCGCCAAGCTCAGGCTGGAGTGCTCTAATCAGGATGGATCCCTGGATCGAAAGGAGACTAAAGGGAGTCATACAGTACGAAAGAGACGAACTCTGCGATATCCGTGACACCACGAGTGGAGAAGTCAAGAAGCATACAGATAACGAGAGTACCTTCTACGGATTGTGGAACGGATTGCTGGACGCAACTTTCCATCGCAGCCTTGGGTACAAGCATGTTAGCCAACCTGGAGTTGACGACTTGGCTCCAAGCACATTGTCGCAGGCAGAAGCAAGGGAGCAATTGCAACGTTATTTTCGAAGATCAGAGGGAGATGTGGGGTATCCACGACTGGATGTTATCTTTGGCATCACAGCTTGGGGTTGGAAATGGGAACTTTGGCAGCATCGCACTGGCGCTACCAGAGGAATGTTGCTGAATGAGTATGAAGATTGTTTGGCTGAGGCCAGTGCGGAGAGCTTTGTCAGACTCAGGGACAGTGTGGATAAGTCTCTTTCTCCCGTATCTCATATCAGCACTGCTCCGGCGCCGGGGACTCCATTGCCTATTCGGGAGCCTGATACACACAACACCCACGAAGCAAGGACCCCAGCTACCTTCAAATTGTGGGCTTCCGATGTGTTGCGCCAGAACTTATCGTGTTGGAATACGAATCCCATGATTTAGGGAAGTATCTTCTGGGACAGGAAATAAATCATGAATATCATCTCTATGGTTGCTACGGAGGTATCTTGGACGCTATCTTTCCGCGGCTATATGGGAAAAGAGTCATCCCACAATGTGCACTTAGGCGCTACGGTTCGCGTCATCCTCTCTACCCAGATTTCACGGTTACTACTCGCCGTAATGAGTCCGGACCACCCCTTATTTTCTTTATTGTTGAAATCAAAGCGAAGACTACCGACATGGCAAAAGCTGTCAAACAGCTCGAGGAATACATGCAGGACGCAGCAGAGCGCAATACAACGACTGACGTATTCTATGGTCTCGCCGCGGCTGGATTCGAGTGGCAAGTTTTTGAATGCAAGAGGCGGGGTTATGGAGTTACACGAGTTTTTGGGGATGATGATTGCTTCTCAGAGGCATCTTCATTACAGTTTCTCCAACTTGTGGAAGCGGTAGACAGTGCGATTGACATAAACGCGTTCACGTCATCTGGAAGTGCTGGTGAGAGCGTCAGGTCATCACCAGAGAACCCTTTTCAGCGAGCACCCACGTACCTCCACGAAGGTTTGTCCTAGCATCTCCCTTCATACATATGAGAACATGCCACCTAGAAACAACTCTGTATCACATCAGAGGTGATAATCTAGAGGGGAGGCTCCTCAGAGCACAGGCTGGCGCTGGGAGTTCTTCTGATGGTTCACAACAGGATCGCTCTGATGATTCGTTCGGCTCATCTGATATCCATGTCTAATTCCCCTACACCAGCGGGGCCCCAACGCTGAGGAGAGGCCCGCTTTGTCAACTTTCTGGAAATATGAGGGCTACGATCATGGCCAAGTCCGAAATCGAACGAAGATACAACATGTACAACATTCGGAATCGTGTCAGCTGGCAGTAAAGCTATCCCCTCTTTTTTTGGTGGACCCGCCCGTAACTTTTGCTGGGTAGGTTTAGTTTGTGTGTGGGAGGGGGCGTTACCCTCCGGGGGATGTGGTTGTACTTGTTTCTTATAGGCCTGTCAATGTTAAGTGTCGTTTCCTGAAACTCCGCCGCGGACATGTGATACGATCCTGCCAGCACGTGTGAACAAGAATGAATAAGTGAAGAATGAATTGGAGGGTGGGAAAGTGAAAATTCCCACGAATTCCTGACTTGAAGGTGTCCCACCATGGCACGGACCGAATGAATCCGTTCATCCGTTTCGGGCTCAGGTTTGGGTCCGGATAGTCTTAAATTCCGAGATACAAGTACCAAAAACTTCAAAAGTTTGACGCTCCCACCCCACGCCTTTCCACTGGTTTTCATCATACCATGTTCAGGATCGACCAGCCCATTCTCGTCGACACAGAGGACCCAGAATATTACGCAGAGCTTCTCTCCAAGACTCACCGACCCCCAAATTGGCGCCTACTGTCCAATGAAACACTTTGTTCAGGCATCCCCGGCATTCAGGATGTCGATGACCCTCTCTCCCAGCGCCTACGGACACTTCTCGATGTAGTCGCCGATATCTCACTCTGTAAACGAGGAAACGTCTCCGCTACGATGGCCTGCATAAAGGCCAATAAAGACGCTCTAGAAACGCAAATATACATCACTTTCAACCACAAAGATGATGGCGCGGCTAGCAATTGTCCCGTTCACCTACAGTCTATCTTTGATATACTTTCCCGTGTCCCCTACCGGTCACATGGAGTAGACAGCTCCCCGAAGGATATCTCGAGCGAGTTAGAAGGGAGCTTATTTGAAATCTGCAGAACCATTCACAATTACTCGTTCGACATTTTTGCGTATCGCGTTAACAAGCGCAAGCACAAGCTTTCCGACATTCGGAGGTACATTGAACAGGATGAGCATCAATTCAATTCGCGCCAGCGTTCCAAGTTGTTGGGGTTCTTATCGCATGTGGGGTTCATCATTAAGGTTGTTGCCAATGCACAAACAACGAAGCAACTTTCTAGTAATTTTATATGCGGGCTTGTAAAGACGTATTCGTTCTGGAAGAAGAATGGCCTTCTTCCCAAAGAAGGGCTTGCTGACAATGCGGTTACATTGCTTGACCACGTGGATGCATGGCTGGCTGACAGTGCGTGATATGACACTTGGATGGTCGCTCTCACCTGAATCTACATCTTTTTAGCCCACGGCATAGGTTTCCGGCTTCGACGTTGGGCGGTGAAGATCATGTCGTTTGTGATCTCGGCCAACAGGCTCTTTACCTTGACCCAGTCGCGCCGCCTCCGCAAATTTCTAGATGGGACCTTCGTAATTAAACTCCTTCCATGCCCAGCCACGACTCCGTATCGTTGCAATCTTTCTTCAGAGAACATACGAGTGGCTCTGGATGCCGCGCTGCACCAAACCAAATACTCTACTGCGGAGTGGGATGAGGAGCGCGAATCGTTCACTGTGTTGCTTCGGGATAAACTGGAGGATTCGGAGGCGTGCCGGAAACCCACGGTCCACGCTGAGCTAGTCATGATTACAGCATTGTTCAAGGGCGAACTCCAGGAAGTTTTACCCTACATCGGGGTCTCTAAACTTTCCTGCATGATGTGCATCCATTATATCCAGGCCCTCAATGAGGTTACGGGAAAACGGATCGCTGTCAAAGGTTCTCATCGAAAGGCTTACCCTGGGTGGTCCTGGCCCAGTCTTCCTTCCCACGACAGGGAAGTTCGTAGAGCCCTTTTACACCTTAACAGACAGCAGCTCTGGAGCGATTTCAACTTGCATGTAGAATCCCGTAGAGGTTCCAATAGCAGCATGGGATATGGCGTTCCGGGATTTGAAACAGTTGCAACGGAGGATGATATTAGAGCAATATTCTCTCTTGAACTCGGTCGTCCTGTCGATGCCCTTCGTCTGTATGTGTAAAGTTGTGCTCAGCGAAATTGCAAATGATTCCCGCTACTCTGTAGCGGGTCTTGCGTGCACAAACTGAATACCTGAGCACCATTATTGGTTATTCCCCTTTTTACCTCATCTTTCTGACACTCCAGATTACCTCAACTTGCTTACCGAGCTAACCCAAGTTGACCCTCACCACGTGTTGTGGTTCCTCACAGAGTCACAACTTGGCCCTACACCCAATCCTCCACCCTCCTGCTGCACTTCCTTCCTGCCCAAACTCTTGCTCCACACTATGGCATCCTCTCCTTTTTTAAATGGCCCCTGGCCATTTAAACTCCTTACCACTGAAGCTGATTGCGATTATCATCTAACCAAAGAAGCGATCGTTCACGGCCTATATGATTTTTCATTGTCAATCAACGATCAACGGAATTTGCTCCTACACCATGCCCTGACCAGTGATTGTTACTCAAGGTGCATGTGTTGCGCACCGCTCTCAATATCCCTCTTGTGATTTGTTTTTCCATCTTCTTTTTGACTACCTTCCTGTCCTCTCAGGTTCCTGCCTACTCTCAGGTTTCGCACACGCTTTTACACATTGCTCTCCTTGCTGTTGACAAACCAATTGCCTCCCTCTCTTGAACACTGTCGTGACATTTTGCTTGTATTTAGTAACACTGCCTCGGAGTGTTATACTGCTGTGGCATTCAATTCAGGTTCATAATGTCAGTGGGGTTGTATATGCAGACTGGGGGTGTGTGGCCTTGGGGTCCTGATTTAAAACTTAATGATATTTTACATTTGTAGTACCACCTAGTACCACGGTGCGCAAAGACGGTGTAGGCGGGCACAGCTGGTACTGCACAAACAAACCGAATATCACAATCTCCCCATCCCAGCACATCCCCACTTCACGAAACACATCGTACACATCCTCATATACCATTTCTACCCTTCCACGATTTTTTCCTATTTTTTCAGACACATTTCCAGTCCCCACAGACCAAATTCCCATGCCCACCCAGCAGCGCGGCCACACTCACACTGGATTTCACTTATCTCAGCAACCACTGCACCGATTTGGATGATATTGGTACCGTTGGAAACGCGTCATTTAGGAGTATTAGGATCCATGATTAGCAGGAGTTGATTGGTGATGGTAGTCTTGGTGCCAGACTCTCTGGTGGGCTGCGCATGACCATAGGGGCATTGAATTGATGTGTTGTGTTGTGTTGGTATTTGTGTGTGCCAAAGCAGATGAAAAAACCATTCTCGAGTTGCCCACCAGAGAGTCTGGTGGATTTCATACCTCGATTCCACTTTCCAGTTGCACGTGACATTCCCTGACTCGAAACCTGAGCTGGAACCCACTGTTTCTCCATTTTTTCATGTCACCTAACTTGTTAAAATGTACTGATACTATAGACAGGACCCAGAATGTACAATATTATAGATATCGGCATAGGGTGGTACCCAAAACATCCGGCAATATTAGTGATCAGATCCCTTAAAAGTTCTCTGTCTCCCCACCATGAACAGCTGTAGTGAATCACCAGCGCCCAGCATTGCTTCAGATGGTTCCCTGACCCCCAGCAATTCTTCCCCCATTCCTGCCCAACTCCCCACTTTTGCCAAGCAGTATCCAGGCTTGGAGGCTCGCCGTGATTATCTGTCCGATAATGAGAGCATTCAGACAATGGCAGTCATACAAGCTCTCAAAGGAATCCAGGAAGCGGGCCTCACATTGGGTCTCCTGGTAGATTTCATCAGCTTTAGAACTGAATCCAAAGATGTGGCAGAGGACCAGTTGATAAGTGCTGAACGTGCTAGCCTGATATGCTATGATAATCTCCCAGATATTCTAGACAGGTGGAGAAAAAGACATAGGGGCTGTGGATATGGCCGTGCACGAAAGGATATGTTGGAGTGGGCTATCAACAATGTAAATGAACAAGCGTGGAGGGAAATGGACTGCATCAAAAAGTACCTAGAGTCAAATGAGTCTGGGTTTGTGTGTGGCTGAACCAAAGAACTCATATTGTCACAGAGTTCAGCTGGATCTGGCTCGTTGCCAGATGCTACCGTAGCCTCAGCACTATGGATGCCCCGGCTTGCCTTCAGGCCTTGTTTCTTGCGCATCTGGAAGGCAGATGGTTCAAAGAGCAAAATTGCTCGTGCCTGTATAAGTGGAGATCGACCAGCACGGCCAGCACGTTGAACCCAAATAGCTAGTGTCTTCGGGGCTCCAAACTGTATGACTATCTTCACATCAGGAATATCACAACCCTATGGTATATGAGTATGCGAGTATTGGTTAGTGAATGAAATGCAACATGGAATGAGTGAACACGCACCATTCCAGCAGCCTCTGTAGTGAACAAGACATTCACCTTCCCCTTCCTAAACTGCTCCATGATGTGTAGTTTGGTCTTTGGGCCTCGGAGCGCAAAATACGAGTCAACTTCCCCTCTATGGCACTCAGGCAAGCCCTCGCAGATGATGCGGCACAGGATCTGGGCAGTTTTTGTCTCATTGACAAACACCATACGACGTTCAATGCATCCTCCCAGTGCCTCCTGCCAAATATCATAGAGGTCCTCCGGGTTCCACACATTGCCATGCATAGTCCGAAGCTCCATTGTGACATTTGGTCGGTCGTTGCCGAGGTTCAGTATGTATGTGCTTGTGCCGTGAAGATGGAGGGAGGTCATGGTTGATGACAGAGCGCTGGGAGTAAGGGTGGCGGAGGTGGCAAGGAAAGGAACAGATTTAGGAAAAAATGAATGAAGGTCGCCAAGAGTCACGTAGTCTGGCCGAAAGTCAGCACCCCACTGATCAATGCAATGTGCCTTGTCAATAACGAGCTTGTCGATCGATGGCATGATTGCATTGAGATCTTCACGGAAAGCCGAGTTTTTGTGCAGCATTTCAGGTGAAGTGAGTAATACACGATACTTTTTTGCTCGGATGTCCTAGATGGATGAGTGAGCTCATAATTATGCAGTGCGAGTCAATACATACTTGAGATAGCGTTGCCCCATGATATGTCTGCGCATTTACCGCTGTAGGAGAAATAATATTCAAAGAATAAAACAATGATCTATCAAAATAGTCAACGAACAGGTGACAAGTTCAGATGTTTAACAGATCTCATGATCTTTATGAGACTGGACAGACATTAGATCATTATAAATTATCTACACCCATGTAGTATGAGATTTAATCTACTACAATCATGCCTAGAACTTGGCATAGGTGTAATATTCAAAGAATATAACCCTACAACAAGAAAATAGCACATAGACGGCAGAATAAGAAGGAACATTGGGAAAGAAATGTAAATATCTCGGGAACCAGTAAACTTTTGACTGTAATCTTTTTACCATCTGAAAGGACTGTTTCTTAACTTTATCCACGGTTTTGTTTCATTCTAAAAGCTTCAAAACTGACGGAGATATCGCTCAAACGGCGAAACACCTTATAATTCATATATATTTATTTGCTAATTCTTACAAAAAGTAATGTGACTCAAGGGAAATATATTGGCGCCTGGAAGTCTGGCGGACCGAATACCATATGATAGAGTATTCCCCGGCGCGGGCGGACAGTTTTTGATCGCATCAGAAGAGGAGAAAATGCTAAAAAACCGGATCTTGTATATTTTCCCATGATTCATCAAAACTTTTTGATTTTAAGCTCAAATAAATCGGAACAAAGGAATGATTGATGATCTGGATCTCGGATCATAAGCATGAAGTGATTCAGAAGTCCGCAGATCAGTTAATTAATTGGGAAGGCTCTAGAACATTAGTAATGATGCGGCTTCACAAAAAGGGGTCAATTAGAGAACAGTCTAGAAAGTTCCTTTATAGCCAAGTCATTTCTAAAGATAACCGTTCGTAATTAAGGCGGTGTAGAGCATAGCTTCAGCGCTACAAGATCCCGCTGAGATCAGCCCAAAAGACAAAGAAATGAATTACTTATTGCTGAGTCATGTCCTAAGTCCATTATTAAGCTTACACAGCCCAAGCCCCTATATCATTCTAGAACTATCTATAATACAAATGTAGCACATGTAACTAGTGCGAGGCGTGGGAGTAGAGAGGCCTCTGAAAAGCATAAAAGGCCACCGCTTCTGCCCCCTCTCAAACCTCAGGTAGAAATAAAAGTTTAATTCTCCTCACCAGTGGTTGGTTCGTTTGCTCCAAAAGATAAAAGCAAATATTAGTTGTTAGCTAATATAAAACTAACACGTCACTCTAAGCATGAGTTAGGGTCAGTTAGACACAGCTGAACAAAAGTGTCATAGTGAGAATTAGTGAGAATTTGGTGGAGGGACTTCTTAATTGAATAATCTCTCAGCAATTTTTGGTTATCACACCACAGGAGAAAAGTGAGCGATCCTGAACCTGCTAGATAACTAGCACGCACTCTAAGCGATAGAAAGAGCAGTTTGGTCACTCCTGTATTGAGTAACATTTATTGCGGAATTATTTTATTAGCAGTTTTCCTTCAGTAAATTATCAGGAAAATCACATCCTACTGAAAAGTGGTAAATATAGGTGTAATATTGACTAGAAATCATAGTAAAGTCAATATAGAATTTTATCTGTAAACGATCTATATGTCAGGTGAGATTGTTGGGGGGTGTTTATTGTTGTTTAGACAGTGAACAATCATATATTTGGCAACCAAAACACGGTCAGTACGCAAATCAGCACAAACTCTAATATCGTTATTGGACGTAGGAAACTGGTTACATAAGGTGATCCAGCTCCGCTCCTTCACCGCATGCGCCGATATGCCAGCCTTCGTGAAGCGCTCAACCTGGCATATCGATCAGAAGTAAGCTGAGAGGTCACTGAGATCTTGCCTCACCTGGTCATCCTCGAGCGCATTCAACGGTGACACCACAATACTGGTGAAGCCCCTGGCCACCAGATGGATGAGACCAAAGGGCCAAGTTTTTCCAGATCCAGTGCCGGCAATCACAACACAGTTCAAGTGTCAGAGACCAGACTTGAGACGAAAGAATGTCTCCGTAACGGAGGGCTTCGGCCTCAGCGACTTCTGCCAGGAGCGCTGTGCCTAGTGACACGTCCGTGCCCTAACTTACTGACTGGCAATTAGAACCTAGGGGGGAACTCTAGTTGATTTTTCTACTGGGGCGTAACCTATGTACAAGTGGGATATATATATGGTTACAGTGGAGACGGTTCCGCAATTGGTGGAGCCGAACGGAGCGGAGCTAACGGGGTTTAACCATTAGCCGACTGAATATTACCGACGAGTCGGTTCACGGGGTTAGCGGAAAGGCAGGCGATAACCCAGAAACGGAAAGGAGGGATAAGCCCGAAGGTGGACTCTGCAGGGCAGGCGAGTGTATTGCTCAGCGGAGGCGGGGGTGCGCTAGCGGACGTCGGAGCTGTCCGGAAGTCTTCAGGGCTCCGTACTTAGGGAGGCGTAGGTAATAAATTGGAATGGGGGGGTGGTGACCATCGAGGGGTACCGAGAGGATTGCGGAATAACGGGGGCTCCGAGGTTAGTGAGGGAGGAGCGGAGTTGGAACGGAGGAATTGGAGGGACCGGAAGTCGATGGCCGGGGATGGATATGACAGTATCCCCTTCTTAGGCCTGAACCCTTGAAGGCCCAGAATTAGTAAGACGAGGGGAGCTGCACTTACAGGAAGAAAAGCGAAAATGAGGAAATAAAAATGAAAACGGAAGTGAGGAGAGGAGGGGAAAGGAGGAATGGGAGAGGAGTCGGGGTTCCTAAGGAGCTTCGGGTCCGGGCTTCGCTGGATACCGAGAGTGGAACACTTCGACGAGGTCGGAGGCGTGATCGAGTTCACCGGCAAGGAGCCATTGTGTCTCCTCGTCGGTCCCTTCATAGCCTAGCCACTTGACCAAGTAGAGCAGCTTGTTGCGTCTACGTCGGTCGATCTTGGAGTCGAGTATTTCCTCGATCTCGAACTCCATCTCGCCTTCGATTTCTACGGGAGGCGGAGGTGGCTGGTGGCGGTTCGGAATGGTGTTCGGGACGGATGGTTCGATCTGCGAGACATGGAATACCGGGTGAATGGCTCGCATGTTTTCCGGCAGGCGGAGAGTGAGGGAGTGGGTTCCAACGTGGGCGATGATCTCGAATGGGCCGAGGTTTTTTTCGGAGAGCTTTTTGGAAGGTCGAGTGGAACGGAAGTACTTGGCCTTTACGTAGACCGAGGTTCCTACTTCGAAAGCTGGGGCAGGGCTCCGACGAGAGTCGGCCGGGCCCTGATAACGGATCTGAGTGAGATGCATTTCCTCGCGAAGGAAGTGGTGGAGGGAGTCGAGATCGACGGAGTACTCTTGGGCGCGTACCGATGTCAGGTCTCGCTCCGGGTGAACGGTGATGTTCGGATGGTAGCCTTTGTTGGTGAAGAACGGGGAGACGCCCGTGGTGGCATTCGGAGCGTTGTTGTATGCGAACTCTGCGAGAGGCAAGAGTTCGGACCAATTGTCCTGCTGGTAGTTACTGTAAATACGCAGGTACTGCTCGAGCGTCTGGTTCATCCGTTCGGTCTGACCGTCTCCTTCCGGGTGATAACCGGAGGTGAAGTGGAGGCGGATGTTGAGGGCCTTACCAAGTGAACAGAAGAAATGAGAGACGAACTCCGGACCCCTGTCAGAGGTGACGTGGGATGGAACCCCGTGCTTGGAGAGCACGTGGAGGAGGAAAAGCTTGGCCAGTTCCGGAGAGGTGATGGTATCGTGGGTAGGGATAAAAATGCACTGTTTGGACAGGCGGTCCACGATGACCAAGATGGAAGTGAATCCGGAAGAGGAGGGTAGCTGTTCGATAAAATCCATGGAGATGGAGTTCCAAGGACGTTCGGGGATGGGGAGTTGTTTGAGTAAGCCGTAAGGCTTATGACGGGGGACCTTGGCGCGGGCACAAGAAGTGCAGGAGGATACGTAACTCTTGACGAAGTTACGGATGCCCGGCCAGGTATACTCACGACGCACTAGATCCAGAGTCCGGTTTTGCCCGAAGTGTCCGGAAAGTTGGTGGTCGTGTTTGTCTCGCAAAATGCGAAGACGGAGATTGTTAGAATCCGGCACGTAAATGCGATTGTCCAGCCTTAAGAGGCCTTCGGCATCAACGGACCAGCGGGAGTTGGGGAGGTTGGGGGAAGCGAGATGAGAAGAGATTGAGGTGTCGGAGGAGAGGGAGGTTAGGATGTCTCGATGAAGAGCCTCTGTGTCGACAAGTACGGCTGCTCGGATTACTGTGGCAGCTAGGAACATGGCTCGTAAGGACGCAGTGAGCTGCTCCGAAGTGAAGACCGGTCGGAAGTTCTGCAGATTGACGCGAGCGTAGTCCATATCCCCTTCTTTGGGATAGACGTCCCAGCGTCTTGTCAGCGCATCTGGTTTAACTCCGAGTCTTCCAGGACGGAATCGGACTGTCATGTGGAATTGGGAGAGGAACTCTGACCAGCGGGCTTGCCGCCGGGTCAAGAGTTTGGTGGTGGAGAAATACTCGAGGTTCTTGTGGTCGGTGACGACGTCGATTGGGGTTCCTGAACCTTCGAGGTAATGACGCCATGATCGGAACGCATCATGAATGGCAAGCAGTTCCTTGTCATGGGTATCGTAATTGAGCTCCGGCGCCGAGAGTGTTCTTGAGCGGAAAGCGACGGGGCGAATCTCTCCGTCATCACAGCGAATGGAAAGGATTCCGGAGATCGCGTAATCGGAGGCGTCGGTTTCTACGATGAGGGGGGCGTCGGGTAGC